CACACACACACACACAACCACCACCACCCCCCACCCAGAGGTGTTTAAGTGCAGTGGATGGACAGACTGCACTGTAGTAGTAGCACTTTGTTTCTGTACATGCAGACTTTTGAAGTGATAGGATGACTCTCCACTCACTGTTGTTCAAGCACTCCCACACCGTACTTCAAAAGCATGCTCAACCCAAAAATATCAGCCTGGTTTAACACTGAAAGAGTGTGTTTTGATGTGCGGAGGTGAGAAAGGTGTGATAGTAGGGGCTATAAAGTGGGCCGTTTTGCCATTTTGCTGTCAAATATTTATTTCTGATAAATGATAGAGAACTTGTTGTGCATCTTTGTGCCTTTTTGTGGGTGTGCAATTGCAGAACATGAGACTCTGTGCTGTTGTCGTACCTGTAAAGGGTGAATAGTTCAGGTTTGACTGGGATGCTATCTTTGTACATGTTTTTCTCTTCAGGGCTGTTCATGGTCGGTGATATTTGTGGATCTGGACGCCCACAACAGGAACAGGCAAACTCTGTGCTCCCTACTGCCCCGAGAGTCTCGTTCACATGTGAGTTCTATTGTTGCAACTACTAAAATCACTCTTCAAATAACTAAAATAGACAATTAAAGCATGTTAAAATGTTTTTTTCTTTTTTTGACTCAGTGGAGGAGCTGTGTGCCAATCAAAAACTGAAATAGACCTGCCACACATATGCCAAAAACTTAAAAGGTTAAATTATACACATTATAAAACACTCACATCAGTATGCCCTCGTGGTGCAGTCATTACACTATTGTTGGTTCATTGTAGACAAGAAATGGGGAAAGTGAGAGGTGGCTGCAGAGCTGGAGGGAGGTAAAGCTGAAAAGGGTGAAAGTGAAAAAAAGAAGTAGTATGTAGAAGAAAAGCAAAACCATTCCCTTCTCTCCACTCCACCCCTTGCAGACACTTAAATGATCACATCTCCAAGTGTCTGCTGAATGTGTCAGGCAGAATAGCCGCCATCAGCTTGCAAGGAAATTAGTGTAATTAGACGACCAGAGTGGCATTATAGCTGTATGAGATTAACGTGGGTCTCTCACTATGGGATAATGTCAAAATAACCAAAATATCAATATAATATCAGGATCTCATACACTATGGCAAAAGATTGGAATTCAATATTTAATTCTAGACACATTCAATACCTGTACCAAATAATGTTCTGCAAGCTCATTTCTTATTTCAGCTACAGCTGCCGAGGATGTTAACATGTAGATTGGAGTTGTAACAAGAAATCTAAGAATAAGAGGGGATTGGACTAGACAGAGCAGCAGTTGGCTCCTCTGTGAACTGTAGAGATGTGTGCAAATTAAAAAAGATTTCTATACAAAGCATAACAGTCAACCACAGCTTGCACTGAAATCTAGTCCTTTTAGCTGGTTGACAAAGTGGTTCATAGTTGTCCATGTAAGAAAGCATGTCACTGCAGTTATTAGGGGCTTCAGTGCATAGACAGCAGCTCTGGAAACTCTGCCGTCTATTAATAAATCTTAAATATTCATAGATGTTTGCAGTGAGGCTAGCGCCTAATAGCTTTCATTTTCATTGCTTAATAGAGTAAACCAAACAAAAGTGAAATGAGAGCATAAGATGCCCAGTCATAATTGTTTGTCAAGCCTAATAACAATATCCATTGCTAATGATTGTTTCAATTGAAATTTAGTCAGGCACTTCTTGATTTTAAATAAGGCTGCTTTACTGTGCTGTTCATAACCGGGAGCTTTCATTCCTAAGCTGGTAAAAAAGCATCTTCTCCTGTCTAGAGTATGGCATTTTAGAACATAATGATGTATGGGCTGAATGCTATTAGCTACCCACAGTTTTGACTAATAACGTATGTTATATGACTATTAGGACTGTGGTTAGAATTTAAGTCTGATAGATATTCTGACCGTGGCAAAGACATTTTAGGTCGTGGTCATATAAATTTGTCATATAAATTTGTCATATAAACAGTTTGTCTTGTCATAACTGACCCACCAGTAGAACTGGTAAAAAAAAAACAAGACTGTGGACAGGACTTGTTATTTCTGTAAACAAAATATTTTTTCCCTGGCAGAACACAGATGCAGCCTTGCTTTCAACCATCAGCTATCCTGCCTTTGCAGTAGATGATGATGCCCTGTACAGTCAGACACTGGACAAAATTGTCCGCAAGCTGCGGGGCAAGTATGGCTTCAAACGTTTCCTTCGTGATGGCTACCGCACTGCTAACGAAGACAAGAATCGCCGCTACTACAAACCTGCTGAAATGAAGGTGGGTGCTTGTGGGACAACTAAGCATTGATCTAGCATTGTTTAGGGTGCTTTAACTAAAAGCAATTCTTATACAGTACATCTAGTATTTTATCATATAAAAAATACAGAAAATGTTCCTCAGCGTCCCAGGTTTTAGCAAGACGTGTACCTGAGTGTCATCAGCATAGCAGTTGAAATAGATACATCTGAGGATAATATTCATCAAAGTGCGATTAAAAAAAAAAAAGGATCCAGGATAGACCCCTGGGGAACCCTACTAGAGATGAAAGGAAGCGCTTCCTCCTTCAATTACAGAGAATGACCTGTTAGCAAAAATAATTCAGAACCACATTAGCATATTTACAGACAGCATTTTGAAATATTGTGGTGCACTATGACAAAAGAATGGAGACTTCATGGAGACTTAAAAACAAATAAAACAACAAAACAGCAGCAATTTTGGACACTCCAACTTACAATATGTGTGAGACAGGCTACCAGTTGTCTCAACTGTTTTGTTAATTATTCTGAGATAAGGTATCTCAATCAAATGTAGAGTTAAAGAATGATATAATGTGTAAAAATGAACTTCAGGTGACCACTTGTTAATGCAGATGAAAAGGCAAAGTGCCAATGGTTGGTAATGCATAAAACCTGTAAAAGTTCAACTTGAAAGTGCTTGAGTGTGACATTTGAAAAGTTTTCAAAATGTATAAGCTTATAAAGATATTATCCTTTTATGATAATTCTAAGAAATCTGTCTGTGAGTTAGCCTCTCCCATTTCAAGTGTTTTAAACCTCCAAGGATTTCACCCCAATCTTAGTGTGTTCATTTGTGAGTCACTCTCAGTGGGTGTGCTCATGCATATATATGTATGTGAATGACCATGCATTCATTGTCTTTTTTTCAATCCCCTGTGATCCCAGCGGAATGACTGTGCATTCACTTCAGAATCAGCTCAGTGAGTGTACAAGGAGTGAATCAGAGGCTGGACTCTTAATGCTAGACAAATCATTGCATTAGCTGCAAAACTAACCTCCCAGAATTAATGAACTCAGAGAGGCAGATAGAGAGAACAGTAGAGATCTCCAAGCACAAAGTTTGGTTTGGTCTAGAAGATGTTTCATTTCTCATCCATGAGATCTCAGCAGTTCTAAGGGTGGGTCATTCACCTGAATGTCACAGGTCATTGAGGTCACCTGAAACTTGTGTAAGTCATCAGAGTCACATGAATTAAGGTTTGAATGTTGTCATGAAGCAGTACTGGGGACTCTATTCATGGAAGAGTAGCTCAAGACTTTTTCAAAAATAAGGTTACTAAAAATTGTTACTTAAGTTGTCAGTTCTGGTCACTAAAGTTGGTAAAGATGATCATAATCATAATATGGCTTTGTTAGATTGTGGCAATGATTCTTAGGTCTAGAACCCGGCCAGCTTGTTTTTAAACTCTGAATTTCTAACTGCACAAATCAATATTTTATTATTAACAATGGAAAAAAAACACTATGTATAATGTGAAAGAGGTTGCTCATAGTGGAATTATCATCCAACTCTCCTCTGAGCTCTACAGTGCTTTGGAGCATATTTTGCACCTTACTGTTGTGGTTTTACAGACCACAACTTTACTGTTGTGGTTCACTCTAACCATTCTTATCAGCCTTGTTTCCAGCAGCAGCAGACAGCTCAGGTTTTTCTTTTGGGTTACTTTTCATTTAATTGGGTGGGTGAAAATAATTTTGGACAGTTTGTGATACTACTACTTTTGGTACCCTTTGGGTGGTTCCCCTGATAAAAGGCTGGGCTACATTCCAATAAATCGACCAGTTATTGACCAAAAAAATCAAAAGTCATTTTACTTAAAAAAGACGTGGAAATGCTTACACCTGTTCATATAAGTGAAGTTAATAAATAATAAAATAACATTGTCCCACAAACCTGGTAGAGATCATATTTCAGAAGCTAAAAAGCCAGATATTTTGTCTGAGACTAAAACAGAGCTAAAAGGAGGGTGAATTTTGGACTTGTGTACGTTTGCCAGGTGGCCTGCTTATGTTGGTCAATTTCTAATCAATATTTAAATAGGCAACTGTTATGCTAACATGCTGTGCTGCTATCAAGTGGTCAAAAATCAATATAGCTGGTATAATTCATACTACTTATGTTTCGATATTTTTTTTAAATACATCCACCAGGAAACGTTTTTCCTGAAGGCAATTGTCCTTTTCAAAAAAATACTGCTAAATAATTTTCAAAAGACATGAAAATATGTATTTCTTTTTCAAATACCAATACACATAGAATTTAGCTCAGGTGTGATTTGAAGACCTTGTAGCTGGCCGTGAGCTGTTTTTTAATACATTTTAGAAGTGCTGGACAGATTGCTGGTCATGGCTATCACAGCTGCTATGTGGCTGTGAAAAATGTTTGAAACAATATCCCTTTTATGAAATTAGATTCCTTTCGGCTGCTCTTTTATTTTAAGAAGTGTCAGAAACTTGAGAAAGGTGTAGGTGCTGAAGACAGAACAAATAAAGGCATAGAAGATGGAAGTGCTTGCTTGCTATGTCACAGAGGGCACTCAAAGGGCGCAGACTCCGAACCACTTAGAATACTTTGAAATTAGCTCTCTTTATTCCTGCAGCTAATACGATACAGAGACTCTCAGGCTAAGAATTAACAAACAGTATTCAATGCCTCAGTTCCTTCAAGCTCCGTCCTGCCCTCAGTTCTACCAGCAGGCAGATTTATTGTGGAAGACACTGATGCCAGTAAAGTTTCATAAATTAAATTTGTGATCACTCTTCCTGCAATTTCCCTTCCGTCTACCAACAGTAATATATTTGCACTACATCAGCAAATACAGCAAGTAATTAGAACCCGGTTATTTAAGAGTAAACTGTGCCAGGTGGTAATATTACACAATGCAGTAAATATTACCATAAGATTACAGTTTTCCAGTAATGAATATTGAAACAAACTGCTTATATTTTAATGTTAGATGCACTTGCCACATTCAGAGGCGCAATAGACATTACAAACATAGTACATAGCAAGAAGTATTATAAATAGAATGTTATTTCCTTTGAGTGATATGTGAATACGCAGAGTAATGAAAGGCCAAGGGCGTGTCTGACACAGTGTGAGCTCTGTCTGGTGAAAGAAGTCACAGATAGACCCGGTCTCCCTGCAGAAGACACAGAGTGAAGTTGTTGTTGGTGTTTAAGAGAGAATTCACAGCAGGGCAGACGTCTGTGCTCCTTGTCTGTTTACCATTGACAGAGAGCAGCAGCCTGTGTGATAGACAGTTTTACCAATCAGTAGAGCTGCTCAAGCACAAAACACCAGGGATCCCTGGCTGTTTACAGCCCCAACAGGCCAAAAAGCACAGGCCTCACTGGGTGACTGCCTTTCTCTCTTTCACTCTCTCCCCCTCCCTCTAAATAAACTCTCTTCCGCTTCTGTATCTCTTTATGCACCTTATTTTCTTTCATTTTTCTCTCTTTCACCCTTCCCTCACCACCTGATAGGTATTAAATTGCTTCTGATCTCTGCTGCAACACACAGTTTGAATCCATGTACACCTGCATACTAACAGGGTGCAGACATTAACCATTTAAAGAAACACATTCAAACCTACAGACAGTATGAGCTTCTTGGTGAATGCAGCTCCCACTTGTATTTGTGTGTGCCAGCTCTACCAGCCATTTTGTTATTGCATTAGGATGTAATCGCTGTTATCTTCCATCAGTGTGGAGATTATTGAAAAAGATGAGGGACAAAGATAGTCATGACTAATGACATTTGTAGTTAGATGGACTAAAATGCACACACACACACACACACACACACAAACACACACACACATTTTCAAATGATGGGTTTTAGAGAGGCTATCTGCAGCTTTTTTAATCTTTTTTCCAAGCTGACCTTGGTGATTTGTGGTGTTTATATGAATTTGGTGACCCAAAAAAGGGTCATTCTATAAAGATAAAGCTGCTAACATTTCTACTGTGTGTTTGTGTTGATCCTCTTCAGGCGAGCATAAGCAAGAGGGGATTTCATTATTGGAATTAGTAAGGCTGCGATTCACTTGACTGTCTTCTCTACATGTGACTTGTAACCAAATGACTTAAGAAGGTTTGTGTGTGCGTGTGTGAAACACTACGCACACGTGGTGTGCAATTTTAGGATTTCTGGCTGAGTAAGATTCAGAGAATACAAGTGATGGTGTTTGTGTCAATTCAAGTGTTTGTTCTGGAAAATTCACCCCAGCTGCTGCCACATGCTGGCTTTTATTTCCCTGCGTTCAGTCAATTGAAAACCACCAGACAGCAGCACAGTGACACATACACTCATCAGTTACTCATTCATATCGATCAGTCAGTCAATCAGTCAGTCAGTCAATCAGTTAGTCAATCATAGCTTGCAGGGTGTTGATTATAATTACATTAAAAACATGAATAAATTAGTGGAGAAACGTGACAGGATGCATGTGCTTCCACAGGGGTCAGTGAATGGTTTGATGAAAATGATGTGCTTCCAACCCAACTGAACACCCACTGGTAAATGTTCCCCAAAATCAGGGAAAATCTTTTAGGACAATATTGTTCATCCCTTCAGAGTTCCACAGACTTGGAGAATGTATGACGAGGGGCTTTGAGTGGTTCTGGTGGCTCATGGTGACCCAACACCAGACTACAGTAAGGATGTTTTCAAGCCTGTTGTTCATTTGATTCAAACCAAGGGGAAAAAAACGGAGACTTTGCCTTTTCGATCTGGTCTGGTTCATGTTCACACTGGTTTATTATTAAAGAACCAGAGGTCTAAGTGTGAATTTTTACATGTATGGACTGACGGCTAGCTCATTGAAGCACTACTCTGCTTCTTATGTGTTCATTTATCTTCTCTGGTGCCTCAAAGAGCTCACCTCAAAATAACCTAATCTAGAAATTACCTTTACTATAATAATATATTGATTACATTTTTTCTGCTTTTTAAATTGGAAAATGTATGAAGACAACTACTACAAACTACTTTTCACTTTCCTCTGATCCCTGCTCTCACATACTGATGTGCATACATGTTACCATGGTTACCAAATGATTTACAAAAATAAATGTGTTGCTTGTGTCCTACTCTGTGTATTTACCCAGTATACCCATATATAGAAATAAGTAAAACCTAGCAACCGCATAGGAATTATGCCCCCATAATATGGCAATTTAAATCAATATTTTTGTCTGTTTTTGTTTAGTACTTACAATATACAAGGAACAGTTGTTGTTTTGAACAATAATACTCATAATCAGTTCTATCTTGATAAGCTCTTTGTGGCACCAGAGTAGATAAACACATCAGATACAGCATTAGCACCAGAATTTGATGTCGCATGGAGGTCCATGTAATGCCGGATGACATCACCAAAACTGTCCAATGAATGAGTTACATGTCAGACCATATGACTTCACTTCATGCTTGCAGCTCTTGGTTCATTTGTAGTAAGAGTGAAGATGAACCAGGCAAGTAAAAGGTAACAATCTATCATTGTTTTCCTTGGTCAGGACTAAATATATTGAACTACAGGTGTAAAAGGAACAATGTTGGTCTGTCCTTTAATTTGTCCTCCATTTGGATGAGGTATATAGATGCATAGAATACAGTACAGAGAATGGTTTTGCAGTGTTTTGTATATTTAATAACGCATCTTTATATTTATTCTACTGTTAAGTCTCAGCTGAATCTTTTGTTGAAGTGGAAGAAGTGTTTTACCTATAAACCTAAAATCCACTTAATCCAACTTCCTCTTTATATATTTGCCACTATATCCTCTCTCACCTCTCGGACATTCAAACATCCTCCTCAAAACAAACAGCACAGCTGTGCATATAAGCAAATAACCTTGCGAGGAAGCATTATTATCTCTGACTGTTCTGTCAGTTTTCACTCACAATGTCATGTCTTATATATTTTTTTCCCTGTGCCATGCTGTTCCATATTCAGTGCTACTAAAGTTCAGCCATCCGCTGCTTCAAAGTCCCTGTGCCTCTCTCCTCTTTCTGAAATGGAAAAGCAATAATTCCTCCTTTCTCTGTCTTTCTCCAGCTTTTTGATGGAATCGAGTGCGAGTTTCCCATATTTTTCATCTACATGATGATTGACGGTAAGCCTTGTTCTATCCATAGCTGCTGTTATGATGCCTCAAGTGGGTCATTGGCAAGATAGAAGACAGACTAGTAGCATTTGACAGGAAATTACATTTTGGTGTTTGTCAGGTTTTAGAGGACTTAGAAACACTTTCTAAAAAGACGTGATGTGTGAAATGTGTGTGTGAACCTAAGGGAATAAAGTATGGAGTATAGTTTCTCCAAAGAATGTGAATTCAAGCATGATTTAATCACCTTCATGCCAGTTTAGACTCCGCTGACGTTTTTAGGACCGACAAACAGTCTGATTTAAGGCCTGTTGTCCCACCTCAGACAGCTCAAACTGTTCATCTTTATGGGACAATTTTTTAACAGCTAAAAAATCATAAACTATCCATCAAACTCATCCAAATGAAGACAAAAACAAGTAAACAGAACTTAAAAAAAAGACAAAATGCTCTGAAACACTTGTGTGCCTTCTGTGTTCAGTCTGGCTTGATTACTAGATTATTACTACATAAAGTAAGCGTTACCACAGCGACGGTGGATGTTCGAGGGTCAGTAAAAGAATTACGATACAATTATTGACGGTCATATCTTCCATGCACGCTGCCTTCAGTAAGCCTGCAGTCAATGCAAAGCAAAATGTAGTCAATCAACTATGTGATGTAGTGAAGGAGGTTTTGGCTTACAGTACATATTGGTCCCTGAAGTATTTTAACATGATCATTTCATTTCCATTTACCTGACTGATGCAGTTAACAGTTGAGCAGAAAAGCAGAGGTCCTGGGGATTATCTGGATTTAAATGGTCAGAATCCAGATTGCTGTTTGGTCTGCTACAGGGTTTCATTTGTAAAGCATACATCAATGCTTTAACATGAAAGCTGCACTCATCAATATTTTTTATTTTAACAATGAACTAAATGATGTGTGTGAAAGGGGTCGTTCCGACAAAACCACAGAAAATTCTCACCAGACTGCACCTCCCTTCAAATTAACCAAGCATTTTAGCGTATTTCAGCTTAATTGTTTTGGTTTTATGGCCCAACTTCACAGTTTTGGTTCACTTTCACGGCTCTCATTAGCACAGTTTCCAGCCACAACAGGCAGTTTTCAGTAAAATAGCTCACATAAACCCTGTAAAACACTGCATATGACCTGCCTCGCACCAAACAGCGGACAAAGTTAGCAAATAACTGGTAAACATAGTGGAGAATTTAGCAGTTAAACCCCTTCATTTCCCTCAGGAGTTGGTGGAGAGCAAAACAATCTTTAATAAGAGAGATAATATTGGACTTCAATTCATCGTCTGGCCATAAACATGCCTATAAATGCTGATCTTGCTCTGTATCTGACATATGTGTTCATAGACAACAGTTTGGTAACATGTTCATCATATTAAAATTCTAATTCAAATGTAATGGTTATAACACTGATCCCAGTACACCCACTCCACCAACCTCTGTAGGACAACCAAAGAACAGAGTTCATACAGAAAAGAGGTGATAAGGAGGTAACATTTTCACATGTGTAAGGTTTTCAGAATGTGCATATGTACTGTGAACATGTGCAAACACACACACACACACACACATAGTACATATGCAGAAATATACATATAGATGCACACAACCACACAAAAAACATAGGCATACATGCACATGTAAATGCAAGAAACACCCAATCATCTCTCTCCTACACGTACATACATACATACATACATACATACATATTCCCTTATTATAACACATACTATTGTATTGCATAGATTTATACAGAATGTAGATGTTAAATGTTGTTGTATCATTACATATGCAAGATATTATCCAAAAGTTTGAATTAGTATCATTAATGTGTGTGTGCGGGTGCATGTGTGACTGTTTGTTGCAGGGGTGTTCAGAGGAAATAAAGCTCAGGTCAAAGAATACCAGGACCTCCTTGAACCCATCATCTTCCAGTCTTTTGAGGGTGAGTAATCACCCACACATAAATGCAGGGACTGATGGATATGGGGAATTTCTGGATGCACAAACACGCACGTATAACTTTATTTGATTTGGCATATCAATATGGTTCGTTCTGGAGCTTCTGAATCTGCCTCTGTTCACTCTCCCTCTAGCAATGAAAAAACTTTCTCTTATTAAATCGTGTCATCCATATTCATACTCCCTGTACTGTGGTTGAGGATCACAGGGGTTACGTGAAAGTGAACTCAGCCTTTCCTCATGAGCAAAGAGCTTGGCTTCTATATTCACCTGCACCCATTGCTGCGAGGGGAGACAGTCAAATGATAGGGTTGTCAAGAGCTTTGAGTTTCCACTGGGCCATTCATAATAGAACGGGAATAATTGGAGTGTAGAAAGGATAATGATGTGAGACAGAGCTGACTATAGTTGCCTCAGACTTCTCCACAGAGCTTTTGTACTGGTTATGTATGAATTAACAAAAGTCCTGAAGTTAACTGGCTGGCTTTTAAATGATAACACAAGTGTACTTTATTTCTCTTTTACCAGTAATGTCCGTGAAAAGTCTAAACCCACAAATGTATTTGCTGCTGTCAGAAGCAGCTATTGTGTGTTCTGCTGCAGGTTCGCCCGACCTCCCAGGAGTCATGGGCTCCCATTGTTCTCATTATACACAGACACAAGCAGGGTGCAGCTCTGGGAGACATGCTGCTGTACACTGGTAAATGGGCAACGTTAACTACGGTTGTGCCATCCTTTGAGTCGGTATTTTCCCTTTAGGTGGGTTAGATTCATATTGGACCACACTTTCAGGCTGAGGTAGAGCAGAATTGTATGAGTACAAAGATTAGAGCTGGGGCTGTCCCACGTGCAGGTACATATGCCATTGTGTACCCCTATTTGCATCTTCAAATGAATAATTATGTATCTGAAGTTACCAAAATGTAGCCTGATATTCAGTCTGAATTATATCATTCAGTCTTTCATCGTGCTCATCAGCTCGTTGGCTCGTCAGCCAATTTCTGTGTTGGAGTTTAATTTCTGTGTTGGAGTTTAATTTCTGTGTTGGAGTTTAATTTCCCCTTTCTTTTTCGGTTAAATATATCAACAACTATTGAATAGATTACCATGACATGTGGTGCAGACATTCATATTCTTCTAACTTTTATTCCAGTGCCACCATCAAGCCCACATTTGAATGCGTCCAATACTTTGGTTCATGACCAAAAAACTACAAAAGAGAAAAAAAAGGAAGTAAAATAAGAATCCTTGTTATCTTTACCTTAGAATGAGCCTTTTAAATTTACAGAGGGAGCTCCTTTTCTATGAGTCCACCATGTTGAACCGCCTTGTTTCTATAGTAGCCTAGAACGGACAAACCAAACACTGGCACTAGATAGAGCCTTTCACATTTTTACAACTTCTGTGGCCACTGCAGTTTCTCCCACACATTTCTAAGGCAAGCGGTATTCAGTTGGTTGCAACTTCAGTGCTTGATGCCACAAAATCCTGCACACTGGTCCTTTAAGTTAAAAGAATTTCATTCTGCCTGTTTCTTCTATGGCCAACAGCTGGTTTGCATCCTCACTGCAGGCCTTATTGCTGCTAACTTTAATTTGTCCTTTGGGCAGGGTGGAGAAAAAAGAGACACTGTTCACACGGACCACACAAAAGCAGTGGCTACAGCAGTGACAAGGACATGATCCCTCACTAGCTTCCCACCCATAAAAACTGCCAGAATGTTTGCCTGGGCAAGTGCTTTTTCTGCTGCACTATCTGGGCGCCCTAATTAGTCTGCCGCCTTCACTGACTTTAATGACTATACCTTTAGATTTGGACTGAATTGGCACAAATTATTACCCTAAGCAATCAGGAAATACTTTGTTCCATTATGGCGGTTCAGCAGCTGGAGCCCATTACGTGCCTTTTATGGTAGATCTATGAAAACGCACTTTTAGTATTCTTCCTGTACCTTTGTGTTTTAGTTTTTAAAAATATATTCACCTGATATGTTTTCATCAACAGCCCATGGAAATAAAAAAATACCCCAGTTGCTTTCATTTGCCTGTTTTATATACAGATTTATAGGTATTTTTTGTGTAGTGTAAGAAGTGTGTACATAAAACTTGAAGATCTTCTTAAGTAGAAAATTAGTTTAAAGATTACACACATACTTTGTACTACTGTGTGAACTTGTTGCTACATTCTGCATGCGTCACCACTGCAGCCTTTTGATGTTTTCTGTATGTACATGAGTGAAGTGTTTTCACTCAAACACAGACAACATATGTCCAGTGAAGCTGTCTACATACACACAGCGCTCACAGTCCTTTTCTCTAATGCCAGGCCATGCTGTGATCCCCAAATACTACTACGTACCAGCTGACTTTGTGGAGGCGGAGCAGAACAAGCCTGGAAGTCAGAAGCGTTTCCCTAGCAACTCCGGCCGTGACGGGAAGATCTTCCTGTGTGGTCAGGCCCTTTACACCATCGCCAGGCTGCTGGGTATGCCTCTGTGTGTGTGTGTTTGTGTGTGTGTGCTTTGGTATGACACTCTAAACCTGCACATTAATTCTGTTCAGTCTGCAAGTTCATTAATAACGCAAAACTAATATGACCTCTAGTTCATATTGGATGAGATTTATTATAGCATGTCAGAATATTTTCTGTCATAACACGTTTTTTGTGAAATAAATTAGTATTTCGTTATTCATGATTATCTAAATATTGTTAATATTACTTAATTCTTCACTGACAAGAATCCAAAGATGCAGTGTGACTCATCCAGTGTGTGTGTATGTGTGTCTGTTTAAATGGGGAAATAAATTTTTTTGTCTTTCTGCTTTTTACACTTGCCTATGTGGGCGTGTGTTTTGTATGCATCTTAATGTCTACCTTTGTGTGTGTACGTGTGTGTATGTGCATGTCAATGCTCACATTCCAGTGGATGAGCTGATCAGCCCTAAAGATATTGATCCCATCCACCGCTACGTGCCCCGCCAGGACCAGCGCAACGTCAGCATGCGATACTCCAATCAGGTAAGCTCTAACAAGGACTGCGATTGGCTGACAGCACTTGGCTCTCATGTGAACTTTGCACACTCATATGTACGGCGGACATTCATTCTTAGTATTCTCTTTGGATTCAAGTGCTCCTTGTTAAGGTGTATTCACCCTTCAATAAATAATTAATTATTGGAGTATTTAAGTGCTTTTAGCCTGAAGTAATAACAACATACTCAATAAAAAAGAAGAAGAAATGAAATCTGTAGCAAGTGGACTGTCTACTCACCGTGGAAAAAAGTATTAGTTCTATGTTTATAATTTAGTATTTATTTAGTCTATCCCACACAACTTAGAAGTGTAAATGAGGGATAATAACAGACAAGTTGTACGTTCATAATTGTAATACATAATCAAAAGCTTGAGGTTTTAAATTCTGGTTGTTTGAAATTTGTCCTTTTGAATACATTACACGCAATAAATTGTTTTCATATTCTGAAGACACTTAGCCTAAAAGTATAGAGGATAGCTCTGCATCCTGCACTACACAACATTGTTAAGACTGTCTTTGCAGCTGTCCTCTTTCCTCAACTTAGCATTGATTTGATTTGAAAATTCACATTCACTCAAGTATCAAAAATGGTTGTAGTATTGTTCTCCTCAGGCTTTTTAATCCACTTTTTTTTTTAACTCAGTCTCACGAGAGTTCCTGGTAAATTAATTTAGAACAACAAACAAACACCTGCATCAGAGGTGCTGGTTCATTTGGACATCTGGCAGCCAATAGACCCTTTTCACAGCACACATTTTGGCTTGTCAAAGCAGGAAAACCACAAGTGGAATTAATAACATTAATGATGGCTAAATTCCATTTAGGTGTGCCAGTTCCACAGTTCTTGTATTGTGCATGCTCACTAACTGACATGTCTTACTGGGACGCTTGGTGGAATGAAGCCATTTTACACCTGTGCTTTCCTGCTTTGCCAAGTCAAAATGTCTGCTGTGAAAAGTGTCGTTTGGAATTAAGCATTCTCAGTGGTCGTGGTATGAAAAAAAAGCATGTTACGGTAAAAATGTCAGTAAAAAAAGATAAGAAATGTATAGCAGTATTAACTACTCATGTAAATGGTAAGTGCCAACATATGTAATAAGAAATATATCACTTAGCTGAGCTGGATTTATACTTGACACAAGGGGTTAACAGAAATTCTACTAACGATACCTACAGTGTAGGTTAGTTAGACGGGTGTATCTCATATGATCTGCTGTATCGTGCTTTAATGTTATTCTTTAGTTTAGTCTGAGCTACACATGTTCTCGAACTGGACTAACAAGAAGGTCATTTCTATTTTGCCTTGAATTTTCATTGACTAGGCGACTTCTGCAAATACTACTACATGCAATCACTGTGCCGTCTTTCTGTCATTGTGATAGAGCGGCTCTCCGGCTACCATAGGGACATGAGTGAAGATGAATTTGGTTGATGTGTGTTACTGAAAAGGAGAACATTCCGTCTAAGCCTGTCGTCATCTTCCTTATTGTTGTGTTCGCTATCAACAATCTGAGAAATCATCAGAAACTTGTCAGAAAAAACCCAGGAGCTATGTGCGTGGGCTTTCAAAACTATGAAGTAACCCACAACTGTGTATCCACCGTTACTCCTGCACGTTCTGCCCACAAACTCCGCTTCAGGCAATTCCCATATCAAATATAAAAGGTTCAATCCTGTTTATAACTTTGTTGTGTTATTCATATGTGCTAAAGCTTTAATTACAATTCATCAATCAACACCTAAACAGCAGAGACAATCCTTTTCTACCTTGCCAAGGGCCAATCTTGTAGACATGGATTAAACCCAGTCCATTTTCTCCATGAACTGCCTCTCTGACTGGGAATCATGTCTGAGGTTTAATCCATATCTGAGAAGACCGGCAGCTCTGTGGATCACACAGATGAAGGGTAGAGATACGTACACAATGGCCTGGTGTATGTTGACTTTTGTTTTTGAAGCTTGGCTGATAAGATGGGCTGCTAGAACGAGGCGCTCAAGAGAGGATGGGTCTGGAGAAGTATGATGAACGCCAGGCTGAATCAAATGGGTTGCAGGGAGAAAGATCCACAGAGGGAACAAAGACGGAGGGAAACAAACAAAAAGAGAATGTCAGCCGGGAGAGAAACTTTGCGGGAAGACAGAATAAGAGAGATGAACATTTGTCTCAAAGAGATACAAATGTCATTATTTAACTCTCTAGGGCTTTCTAATATTCTTTAATACAAGGATGGCCGACTCTGTAAGTGTGTAGAAGTGTGTGTTGGGATTTTTTTCACTTAAAGGTTTTGACATTTAGCAGATATTTCTCATTTTGTCTTTTGCTGTGCTGACTTATTTTAGAGAGAAGTGGTTTTAGATATTCAAACTCTATTATGCTTTCACCTCCATTTCACTATGATTGCTAAATATACAAAGGTGGATGTAATTGTTTCAGCATGTTTTTGTCATACATGTTGATCCATAATTTTTTGCATTTGTACTACTACCACTTGGAGGTTCAACATTTCAACCATTTATTCATTAGTGCTTATTTAAACAGACTTTCCATTACTATACTATTACAGTCATTTATCCATTGAGGCTGTTTTTTCTTTGTTTTTGTTTTAGTTTTCTAGTTTATAGTTTAAAGAATACATACAAAAGACAAGGATAATAAATGGTATACATTGCCGAAAGAGGCAGAAAACCCACATGGGCTTATTGGTAGCCTTCACCTTAAGTTAAATTTCACAGTTTAAATAACACAGAATTAACACAGATTTTCATCCACTACTTTAGCTACTGTTTCTATTATTATTTCTATTTCAACCACTTATCCATTTCTTTTAGCCAGTCTCTACTCTCTTGCTAACTGGTTTTAATGAACTCAACATGTGGTGTTCAGGTGCTGTAGCAAACTCAATACATGGATGTATTTTTCAATTACATCTTAATTTCTGTTAGTTTAATTAGTAGAGTAACACCACAGTCTTTCCACATAACCCCCGGAAACTGTAGAAGTACCCCCCTGGGGGACAAGTACCCATTTGGGAGTCCCTGCTCTAAATAATCTGGGTTGCTGAAGGGCTTAAGAGTATTTTTCAAAATTTGTAAGATCTGTAAATTTTTTATATCTTTAATTGGGATCAAACAGAGAGCAATCTAGATTGTGTAAGAGTTAATAGACTATCAGCATCATCTTACTTGTGTTAGCAGATGTGGTGTGATATTTCCCTGTAGGAAAACAGGATGAATACATGCAGCTCCATTCTGGCGACATTGCTTTTATGAAATCAGCTTCTAAACTAGTATGCAGTGTGAGCAAAGCCCGACTCCCCTCAGGTAGGCTGCATATTTCGCTGAAATTACTTTTATCACAATAACACTTTGTTGAAACTGGATGTGTAGGCAGCGTGACAGCTCACTGTGAGCCCAGCCTCTGATGGTAGCAGGCACTGCTCTGCGTGCAGCCCATCAACAAAAGCCCATCACATTTAGTTTGATGTTTTCAGCCACATGCAGTCCAAATAAATGTGAGTGAATGGTTTTACTCCGGCTTCATTTCTCAGAAAATTGAAGGCCCTGTGGTTTGCTGTCACAGCGATGAGGCACTATCTTTTCATGGGCATTTGAAATGTAATTTGGGGCTCACACTATTTGTTAATGAGGTTATTGAAGAGCTGACAACTTGTTACTGAAGTTAATGCAAACTGTGAAGGCTAACTGGCTGTGCTCAGTTTGATCTGTGGACGGTGTGTGCAGGTGGGAAAGAGATGACGAGGTAGGCACTGAGGTAAATGTGACGGTAAGAACCATAGCTGGTTCGCAGTATAGTCACATAGGCAATTGTCTAAGGCACCAGTGGCTGGAGTGCACCCACAGAAAGGGGGTAAGATTAATATTAACCATTTGAACCTGATTGACTCTTCATAGGGACACATCTGAACATGCAGAGCCTCATAAACATATTGCTATATTCAACTTAGACTTTCCAGATATGGCAATTTCTCTGATGCCAGTCACAGATGAACACCCAAAAGAAATCATAGAAAAAAGTAGAAAAAGAAAAAACTTGTAACTCCAGATCTTACCACATAATCATCTTGTTTAGACTTAAAAATAACCCAGTGATTGTAGTCCATCCAGGACATCTAGTGACAGCGCAAATTATTGTGCAGATTTGTGCAGATTCAAAATAATAAGAAATATAAGCTCAAAGCGGTGCTACAGCATTGATGTATTAAGAGAGCTGGATACGGCTGTTGACAATACACCTCGAACTGCAAACAAAGTCAGTTATTACTCTCTTTATTATACACTAGTGGGAAGAAACACTAATGTGCATGTGCAGTGGGCTGTGCAACACGGAAGAAAACCTGGAAGCTAGAAAACTATTTGGGCCTATGTGCTCAAGCATGTTCCATTCAAGTAAACGAGACAGGCTTTTAATTCCTTTTGCACAAAACTCTTGTTCAGCAAAGATGGGAGATGCTATACAATTGTTTATATTAACCAGAATGAATATTACTTCTGTCATTGTGATAAAAAAATGTGGCTATCAAATACGAATCATACAAGAATCTAACTGATCTCACAATGTGTAGCATGTCCATATTGACAAAAGTTCAAACGTATATTTGTGTGTTCACTTGCGCAAGCAGGCCTCCTAGTGAGCGTTAAAGGGTTTCATACATCTGGTCTGCAAAGAACATCCACAGAACATCTATTAAATGAATTTATTTGTCGAAACATGTAGCCACATCAGGCTAGTAAAGGCGACCTACTTCTAATTGGGACCCTGCGATTAGTTGTTTGTTTAGTTTTACGGCATTTAGCTATTTAGCTGCTAAATAGCTAGCTGCTAACTATGTCTGCTGTTTGGTGCTGAGCAGGTGTATGGCGGGTTTTTAGTGCGTTTGTGCTGGAAACAGCTGCCTGCTGTTGAGTGATACATTTATTTAACAGACGAGAATTTCAGTGTTAACCACATGCAGAAAAAAATCCA